AAGTATCATTAAAATGCTTCTGTATAAAGCCTTGGTATATCTGATACTAGAATACTCCTGCAGAGCGTGGGACAGCTCACGGAAAGTAATGGAAGTGAAGTATCTGTCAAAGTGCTAGAAACGCCCCCCTGTGGCAGTGCCCTGGAGCCGCGAGTGTGTGCCGTGTGGGGCTGCCATGCTGGCTTGTGTGAGGCAGGACCGAAGCGAACACGCGCTCTTACTCTCGGGGGCTGAGAAGCTGAGAAACTCCTGCTTTGCTTGGACACCATTCCCTGCCGAGTGCCGTGCTGGGTAATGGAGATGCTCTATCTCCTCCGCCTCTAGAAAAACGTTGTGAGACGGTACCTCAGCATGCTTCGGAAAGGGGAAAACGAGATTCAGGTAGCCAAGTTAACTGACTTGTGCAAAAATTACTCGGCTACCTGTCTGCAGACCAAAAGTCTGGTCTTTCTGTTACACTTATTTTCTAGATAAAAGTCAAGAAATTGGGGCATGCAATCTTTATGACAAATAATTGTTCTCTGTTTTAATGGAAAAAAGGAAATTATGATCGGAATCTAGAAGATGTTTAGAGAACTGCAGACACAGTGTGCGCCTGTGCACCAGAGCTAGGAGCAGCTCTTTCAAGTCCAAGGAGATGATATTAACATTAGTTGCCAACTTTCTACAGTAAGTTGCCATTTTACGTTGCAGTCTCTCCCCAAAGGATGTGCTTGTTGAAAATATATGTAAGTTTTTAAACATCGTAAGTTTGTTATTGACAGGCTTTATCATATCGGTCATTAAGAAAAATTGGGACGTTTCAGATCATTTGTCTAACTTCTGAAGTCTCCCTGCAAGTGTTCACTATTCCATTGTCTGCTCAGCACAGTTCTTGTTCGCAGTACTCGAATGTTTGTAAAATTAACAAGACAGTGGGCTGGAAGGCGCACGCCTCTGAGCCAGCATGCAGAACAGACAGCGCCGCCCTGTCCTGCTGTTAAAGAGAATCTCCTATGACGGGACTCGCGAAGGTTGGGCGAGCAGACTGTACTCAGGATGTCACAGCAGGTGCAGGCACCACTGCAATGGGGCTTTGCTGCAGGGGAGAGGGGCGGGACTCAACTCTGAAAACAGCATGGGCACATGGGAATTTATAGCCAAGGAGCAAGCATGGGGGGTCAGCGGATGGAAAATTACTAACAATGAACCAGGGTTAAGGGAGAACTCGCCTAAGTGACCTAACAGAATTCTTGCTGAAGACATGATCAAGAGATGGCAGAGGATGAGGAACCTGATCAGATAGCAAGGATGGGGATGCTTGCTAAAACTGAATTTTACAACTAAGTGCACAGACAGGCCTGGGCCTGACTGAACTTTGACCAAGCAAAGAATCTTTGCCATCATCAAAAGATTCACACTAAAATATTCGGTTGAGAAACAGGATAGATGAAGAAAGTAACCAGTTTAGACCGGGCGCGGTGGCTCACGCCTGTAATCCTAGCACTCTGGGAGGCCCACGAGGGAGGATCACCTGAGCTCAGGAGTTGGAGACAAGCCTGAGCAAGAGTGAGACCCCGTCTCTACAAAAAATAGAAAAGTTAGCTGGGTGCGGTGAAAGGAGCCTGTAGTCCCAGCTACTCAGGAGGCTGAGGCAGGAGGATGGCTTGAGGTTAGGAGTTTGAGACCAGCCTGAGTCAGAGTGAGACCCCATCTCTACCAAAAATAGAAAAATTAGCCAGGTGAGGTGGTGTGCACGTGTAGTCCCAGCTACTCAGGAGGCTGAGGCAGGAGGATCGCTTGAGCCCAGGAGTCTGGGGTTGCTGTGAGCTGTGATGATGCCCCTGCACTCCAGTCTGGGCAACAGAGCGATACTCTGTCTCAAAAAAAAAAAGAAAGTAACTAGTTTATACGTATCTGTTGAGAGAAAAAAAATGTACTAATTCAAAATTAGTTAAGTGAGTAGAAAACATGAAATCCATATAACGAAACAAAATCCTACAGTCCATCTTCTTAAGGGATACAAATGGCAGAACGAAAGACTTATGAGTAGGACTAGAAAGTAGGAAAGATGTGAACCAACACTCAAACAAGAAAGAAGGACGTACAAAGAAAAAGACTAGAAAACACAGACTCATGACTAACATCTCCGTGGTGTGACATCTTCTTGTGTTACACCTGAGGCGAGCCCTGCGGTGCGTGTTTGCGAACGCGGATGTCGAGTGGACATAACTTATTAGCAGCTGTCTCTAGGTATCAAAAAGACCCCACCTCTTTCTTTAAGCCTCATGTCTCTTGTTCTTTGTTCTAACTTCCAATTCTCAACAAAGGTAACCTTTACGCACAAGATGTCCAGTTGAATTTTTTTTTTGAGACGGTCTCGCTCTGTTGCCTTGGGTAGAGTGCAATGGCGTCAGCCTAGCTCACAGCAACCTCAAACTCCTGGGCTCAAGCGATCCTCCCGCCTCAGCCTCCTGAGTAGCTGGGACTACACGTGTGCACCACCTCACCTGGCTAAGTTTTCTATTTTTAGTAGAGATGGGGTCTCACTCTGACTTAGGCTGGTCTCAAACTCCTAACCTCAAGTGATCCTCCTGCCTCAGCCTCCCAGAGTGCTGGGATTATAGGCGTGAGCCCCCGCACCCTGTCCAGTTGAATTAAACTAATTTTATCAGCCTTAAAAAAAAAAAACTAATGACTGAATAAAACACTTTCTTTTCAAGTGCATATGCAATGCTCACTGAACCGCATCTACTGGTCATGAAATAAATCATAATAAATTTAAAGGAACTGATATCTGATAGAGTATATTTTCTAACCATATTGGAATTGAATTAGAAGTCAGTTATGGTAAAACATCTAGAAAATCATCAAACACACTTCTAAATAATCCAGGTCAAAGCACAAAAGCAGACCTATATTTAAACTGTCAACTGATTTTCAACAAATCTCCCAAAGCCACTCAGTGGGGAAAGGAAAGTCTTCTTACAAATGCTGCTGGAACAACTAGAAGAAAATGATCCCTGAATCTCAAAAAAGTTACGTTGAACAAAGTAAGCAAGACACAAAAGGGCACGTATGGTACAACGCCATTTGCATGAAGTTCTACAACAGCTGAACCTCGGATGACAAAAGTCAGAACGGTGGTTGTCTACAGGGTGGGCACCGATGGGAGATAACATGAGGAACTTTCTGGAGGGATGTAAATGTTCTCGACTGTGACTGGGTGTAGACACTCATCAAAACTCACCGAGCTCGATGTCTAAGATCTAGGCATTTCACTGCATATATATTTTACCCCAACTTAAAAA